GGTGTGCTTGTGTAACTGTTTATGAGTTTTTATTGAGAAATAACAGTATATCCACAGTTTTCAGACACAAGCGGTTTCTCCTTTTACAGACTATTTCCCCAGCCTTGGAAAAAACCCGTTCACATGGCACAGATGAGGCCGGGGTACACAGGAAATGCTTGGATAATTCATAGAGGTTTGGGTAACTATACAGTATATGCAATATATCTATATATATCTTATCTATATATGTAATATATATCTTATCTATATCTAATGTTATTTAGGACTATCTATGTAACTATATCTAGTATTATCTAACTATATAACTATTATCTATTTCTCTATAACTTACTATCTATCTATCTATTGATCTATCTCTCTATCTACAGTGATTCTCCATTAAATACACAATCTGCTACAACACTACTAACTCTCAAAGCAACAACAGCAACAAACCAACCTGCTCTGCAAAGACAGATTCAAATGAAAACCACTAAATAGGGATATCCTGTCTCTGAACACACTCGATCCAAAGTGATTCACATGACAAACAGAACCAATCAGCTGATTCACCTGACGTCCGATGAACCCAACTGCTTTGGACGTCACTCAAGTGATTCAAACGTCACTAGTCACGTGACCGAAACACGCCTCGGCACAGTGGTTCGAAACAATTGCTTTATGAGCTACCGCGCATGTGTCGGAGCCTCTGGTGTCATAGGGCCATGACTAACTACTACTACTGCTACTGTTATTGTTACCTTTAATATAAGTACTACTACAATGAATACTAGGTCCACTGCTGGACACATACTACTACAAGTACTGCAGCCAGTTGTAATGTCACAATCAGTATTACAGTTGCCTCATTACAGTATACTTGTGTACAAATACAACAAAGTACACGTTATTCAAATGTGCTTTATTGATACACAGCTAAAGGATATTGCTGCTCACTGTGCTACAGTAGAACATAGTACTGTGGAGTACACTATAAAAGACGAGATGACCCCCCCCCATGTCCGTGTGGACCCCCTCAGTCATGTGCCGTTATATTTAGCCTGCAGTAAAGGCTGCCGTGTGTGTACTGTGAAGTATAGTTAAAGGTGAGTGTAAAGGGTAAGGTGTCTTGTGTGCGTGCGTCTGTGTTGGGGTTACTGGCCTTTGCGGTGACAGCTGAGCTGGGCTCACATTTCCCCTTTAGATGAACTTTGACCTTCTCTGTGGGTGTTAGGGACCGTCACACTAGTTCACAGTACACACCAGCCCACTTAGTACCTACAGAACATAAAGTAAGACTTGTCTTTTACGTCTCATTAGTTATATCAGATTTTACGGTCCTGTGAAGTACTCGCCTTCAGATTACTGTAGTAACTGTGTCTTATTGGGGCATTTTCATACTATCATCTACATTTTATCTAAAGATGTAGACATGTATGATAAGTAAATAAAACAAGGTTGGACTCAGATGCTTCTTCCGCAGACGTATTCAGAATGCTAACATCTGAATTCTGAAGATGAAAAATGAAATAATATTTATAGAAACAGCTGTTCAGAGTGTTTGTACTAACACTGCTGGAACTATCACTACTGAGTTTGTGCAGATTCTCAGTCATCCAGGTCATAATACGATGAAAAAACTGTTAGGTATTTTTAGTCAGATAGATATTGGATAGATACTTGATGTATTAGAAATGTTTAGAGTAGACAGGATGTCTAGCTCAGGCTGTTAAATGTTTAGTCATTCTCATGAGTTACTGCAGGTTGTTTATGGTCAAGGATAACTAGAGAGAAGAGTTGATGACTGTCAGCAGACAGGGTGTTTAATATTATTATTATGGCGTGTATAACTGTAGCCTTAGCCATAATATGTTCTTATGTTTAAGTCACGACATGTTACTAGAGGTCGTGAGAATGTTTTTAGCTACACACCACTTAACCAACAGACACATTCACACATTGATTTGCTTCATGTTTTGACTACTGCTATGACCAGCTGCAAAGCTGGTAACAGAGACGTCTCGGTTGACGTTTCTGTGTAGTATGGGGCTAGCCCAACCGAGGGGATATAATGTATAGGCCTGGTGGGTTCAGGGTCTTTCATCTTACATCTGCCTGTGAGCAGTTTGGAGGTGGAAGATACCTGAGCGTGTAATGTTAATTTTACCTGTGATCCTTTGAATAAATCAGCACTGTTTTGAAGTTACTTGGACTGTCTCGTCTCTCAGAGTTAGCAATGGTAACAAGAACCAAAGGCCTACAGTGTGAAAGATATTTCCCAGTTACTCTTAACCAGTGAAACTCAGAGAGACGAGGCGGTCCAAGTGGATACAAAAAAATGTGCTGGTTTATTCAAAGGATCACAGGTAAAATCAACATTACACGCTCAGGTATCCTTCACCTCCAATACTGCGCGCAGGCAGATGAAGAATGAAAGACCCCGACCCCAACAGGCCTGTACATATCCTTTTTAACTTCTCTGATAAACCAGCCACATAAGGGATGACAGTGTTATCCCCTCTTGTTTCTGGTTTCTCCCTGTTGGTGTTGGGCCTCTTCCTTGCTTTGCTCCTTGCTCAACACCAGTCAGTCAGAACTGATGAAGCCTCTTGGATGAGAGGTGAAACGTCTTCAATCTAGAAATCTAAGTCCAGTTGATTTTATCTAAGGTTTTTTTCAGTCAGCTGCCAGTAAACAGACAGACTGGGCTGCCATTTGGCCTGGGGGTTAAAGACCCGACTATCATCTACCTCTTCCCCAGTTTGAAACCTGTTCCCCATCTCTCTTGCCTTGTCTGCTGTCGACCCTTTATCCCTTCTTGTTTCTGGTTTCTCCCTGTTGGTGTTGGACCCCTTCCTTGCTTTGGTGAAGGCCCACTTAAAACTAAAACTGCTGAATCTATTTCTAGTGCTAAACTTTGGTGTTTATGTTTCATATTTTTATTAAACTAAATCAATAATGTAACAATGTCAGCTTTATTATTACTGAGTATGAGGGTTCTGATTTGAGTCTTAACATGTTTTTACTATTTTACAACAAAGTAAAACACCTTTCAAACTGTGCCCCCACTGTTTCTGAACTCGCCCCTGTACTGCAGTACTACACAGTGAGTATTTGTCCTGACCTGTGCTATTAATACAATATAAACCGAGGCTTTGTTTGAACGTTAATTCCTCTGTTCTGAAAATTAATGTCTGTTTCCATGACATTTCCTTTATATGCTGTTTGATGCGCGGTGAGTTCACGGTTTGTCCTTTAAATATAACATGCAGACGGTCCCTGCCTCTCCAAAAGCCCCCCCACCCCGCCAGGGAGCGTTTATAAAAACCCTGCAGACAGACGGACCACACTTTCCACGTCAGTCGGACAGTCAGACGGACGGACAGACGGCCAGAGGCGACACAACCGGTTCTTCTTCAACCATACAGCTCAGGTAGGCTCAGGTTGGAGGGTAAGGGTTAGGTTTAGGGTTAGGAGGAGGCGGCGCTGAACCTCCGCTCTGGTTGGTCACTTCTTCAAACCGGCCGAATGTTTCCTGTTTCTTCTCACGTTCTCACTTCGGTCTAAACCTGTTCCCAGTGTGATAACCAATCCGGATTCATTTCCCACTTTTATTTTGAAAGTCCGGTTTAGTGTGCAGAGTTTTCAGATGGAGTTTGTCACGTTCAATCTGACATACACTCCGTTCGAGTCTTTATCTGAACCAAAAACCAAAACCCTCCCAGCACTTTGACCTTTAGCAGCCTGAAGGTCAAAGTGCTGAAGCTCAGAGCTGAGGCCTGAAACCTGACAAGCAGCACAAAGTCCAGAGGACAGAGGCGCAGTGTTGCCAGGTCTGACGCTCAGTGTTGCCAGGTCTGACTGGCAGTCAGAGCCGTGGATGTCGACAGCAGCCTGAACACCAGGACGTGATTTCTACACCGTCAGTGCTGCGTTAAACTGAAAGCTGTTACCTGTATGAACACTTAGAAATCAGCAGTGAGTTGTGTGTGGTAACTTCAACCTGTTATTTTAGCATCAATTAGTTTACATTTTACAAAATGGGGTGCACAGACTGAGCAGGGAGCAGCTGCTGTGTACAGTGTCCCCCTGGACGTCCCCACAGCTGTCATCGGATCACTGAAGGCTGAGGGAAGCCTAGAGACAGGAGGACTCTCAGCCCGGGGCATTAAGGAGTGTCTCCGTGCTGTTTATGGATGTTTACTGAGACCCAGGCTGAATCTGAAACGTGTTTCAGGCCCGTGGGCTCAGATGTGACTCCTGTTTGTGATACAAGTTGTGGCAACACAGCAAAACGTCTTGTAGATTAAAAACTAATGTAACTGTGCAAAAATAGCTGAAGTCATATCAGTTAGCCTGCAGGGCCGCATCCTGTCAGTCCGCCTTCCTGCGTCTGTCTGTCTGTCTGTCTGTCTGTCTGCAGCCGTCTGTCTGTCTGCCTGTCTGCAGCCATCTGTCTGTCTGTCTGTCTGCAGCCGTCTGTCTGTCTGTCTGTTTGGCAGCCCTGCAGACAGACAGACAGACACAGATAGTACTGATAGCAGTATTATTGTAGCAGTATGGAGGACAGTATAAATATCAGCAGCAGTAGTAGTACCAGTAGGAGTACACTGAGCAGTAGTTCTAGCAGTATTATTGCAGTAGTTTGGTTTGCGGTACTTCTAGCAGTAGTATTGTGTCTGTGTATATGTCACCATGTGTATTTGTACAGTAAACTTTTTGTAAAGGCCACAAGTGGTTTTGGGTGTAGCGTAACTACTCAGCTGTCGTCTGACCTGTGCACACAGCTGACGTGCACACACACAGTTACATAACACACACTCAAACACAGCTGCACACATGAAGGAGTGGGCATCAATCCTGAAATACTGGATGCCAAAGTCAAATCCTGCAAATAATACTGTGAATACTGACACACGTACTGCTAAAATTCTGCTCAAATTACTGAGAATACTGTTACTATTACTTTGTGCTAATACTGCCTGTACTGCTGCCATCAGTACTCTAACACAGTATACGTACACTGCCACGGCCACTGGTGGTACTGCAGTGTATACTATAATATTACAAACAAATATTACAGTTATGGAGTACAGCAGTAGCATTTGTGTCAGCAGCAGAAGTATTATCAGTAGTTTAAGAGGTACTTCTAGCAGTATTATTATGAGTAGCAGCAGTAGTGTTAGTAGTTCTAGGAACTGGAGTTTGGTTTGCGGTACTTCTAGCAACTATGGTAGTTATGGTAGTGTTAGCAGTGTTTTAACAGCAGTGTTTGGTCTAACAAAAGCAGTAGTTGTAGTATTTTCAGGCGGTGGTACTGGATCAGCGTTGGGGATGGGGGGGGCAGTTCACAGTGTATGAGTGATAAATATTTGCCGTGCTGCTCGGTGGTACCTTGTGTAGTATTGTACTGCTGTGGTATTTGTCAGTATGTGTGGAGTACACAGGTGTACTTCGGGGGGGCCTGGACCCTGCGTCCAGCCCCAGCTCTTCCAGTGAGACCTGGGTTTGTGCTGAACCCAGATCAGACAGTGAAGCACCTACGATGACGTCCCTGCATGGTTTTATAATATAGCTTTGTTTTAATTCGTTGCTGCGACCACTTTATTAGGTACACCTGTAAACCCAAAGGTATCGGCTGTCGGGTTGTTGGACCTGGGCTGAGGTGAGGAGGGGGCAGCGCAGCAGAAACACATGTCAGTGTCCTGTAGCCACCACTGACAGTGGCAACAACAACTAAACACTGTCACCTTTCTATATGTAAACTTCACCTCAGGTCTGGTTTATTAGTTGACACACTCATTTGTAAAGGTGTGACCAAGGAGTCGGAGTCAGCGTCGGCCAGAGCTGCTTCTGAAGTTCTGGTCTTAGTAGGTTTAATATCTAAAACATTTTCTGCATGGTCACCAGCTTTACCTTTCATACTTCAAGTACATTTACCTGAGTATACTTATGTTTTTACAGAGTAGTTTCAGTAGCTCTACTTAAGGACAGGGCCGGAGGACTTCCTACACACCGCGGCCACATCGCTCAGCACCAGCAGAATAAGTTTGGACGCCAGGTCGAACCTTTACTTATCAGAGAGGTTGATATCAGTTCACAGTCACAAATACCTCTTCAAATGTCAAGAACATTAATATAGGTGTGTGTGTGTGTGTGTGTGTGTGTGTGCTGTAACTCTACCACAACCAGGAGGAAGTCATGACCTGAGCAGAAAGGTCAGGGATAAGGTCAAATGGTTTTACCCACCAGACTTACTGTATTAATAACTCTCTCTGGAGGACACACAGGAAGACAGGGGACTCTTCAGTCCCCCCTCCTCTGGCAGCGCAGTGGTCTCTCCCTCTCCTATTGGTCCCATTACCTGCCCATCATGTGTGATGGTCTCAGACTGGCTGTGTAGGAAGGAGGGGCAGGGTCTGACAGGACAGGGCGGGCATCATGGCCTTACACAGGGTGTCTGCAGCCGGTCACGTGCACACACACACACACACACACACACACTGAGTTTAGCAGTTTGACCTTTGGTTCAAAACTAGTGTTTTTTATTTTCAAGGTCACTGGTTAATTATCTGTTAAAATTCAAAAGAAAAGAGCCTTTACTGACTCGTGGTCGACAAGTCACTGCAGAAAACCAGAAAACACAAATATCATTTGTCTCTTTTGTGTCGTCTTCTAAGTCAGGGACAGTGTCCTGTCCACTCTCTGTAATTCAAGAATAAGGCCCTGTACCATACTTATGAACCTAGGACCAGATCCTGTCCTGCTCTCCTGATCCTAGGACAGATCCTGTCCTGTTCTGATAATCCTGTCCCACTCTCCTGATCCTAGGACAGATCCTGTCCTGTTCTGATAATCCTAGGACCAGTTCCTGTCCCGCTCTCCTGATCCTAGGACCGATCCCGTCCTGTTCTGATAATCCTAGGACCAGTTCCTGTCCCGCTCTCCTGATCCTAGGACAGATCCTGTCCTGTTCTGATAATCCTGTCCCACTCTCCTGATCCTAGGACAGATCCTGTCCTGTTCTGATAATCCTAGGACCAGTTCCTGTCCCGCTCTCCTAATCCTAGGACCGATCTCATCCTGTTCTGATAATGCTAGGACCAGTTCCTGTCCCGCTCTCCTGATCCTAGGACAGATCCTGTCCTGTTCTGATAATCCTAGGACCAGTTCCTGTCCTGCTCTAACATCAGGCTTCCTAGAAAAGGTTCTAGGTGGACTGTACTAATCCTGGGACAGATCTGACCTGTTCTCCGACCCCTAGGCTGGGTCCCTAGCACAGTGTACTGAAGTGTTTTAGTTTTATCATTCAGATGAGGCCCCAGTCCGACGTGCCAACAGCAGATACACTGAGGCCTTACATGGGGGATCCAGACTTCTTCATCATGTGAGAATCTGCACGTACAGTGGAGATTTTAAACGAGTCCCCTCTTTTTGTTTTCTGCCTCTGTCCCTCAGTCAGGATGTCTATCACTAAGATCCACGCTCGGGAGATTCTGGACTCCAGAGGAAACCCCACGGTGGAGGTGGACCTGTGGACTGCCAAGGGTGAGATCACACGCCTTCACACACGTGTTCCCTTAATGTATTTATTTCACAGCTACACTATGTATTTGCTAGAGGTGTCTGCTACCAGTCACGTCTGTCTCGCCGTCTGCTTGTCTGTCTCTCAGGTCTTTTCAGGGCCGCCGTTCCCAGCGGTGCATCGACCGGAGTCCATGAAGCCCTGGAGCTCCGTGACGGAGACAAGAGCCGCTACCTGGGCAAAGGTGAGAGCTGAGGACAGAGTTATAGGCCGAGCTGTGAGGAGGAGTACGCCTGTTCATGCTAAGGTCTGTGTTTGTGTGGCAGGTACGACAAAGGCTGTGGAGCACGTGAACAAAGACATCGCTCCCAAGCTGATTGAGAAGGTATCAGCACCAGGATGCAGAGCTATTGATCAGCTCATTAATTAACTGAGTCAGTGTGAGTCAACGGAACGTCAGTTCCTCAGTGGCTTCCTGCACCTCTAAACTCTCTACCTGCCTGTCTACCTGTTTCTCTACCTGTCTACCTGTCTGTCTACCCGTCTCTCTACTTGTTTCTCTACCTGTCTGTCTACCTGTCTCTCTACTTGTTTCTCTACCTGTCTGTCTACCTGTTTCTCTACCTGTCTGTCTACTTGTTTCTCTACCTGTCTGTCTACCTGTTTCTCTACCTGTTTCTTTGCCTGTCTGTCTACCTGTTTCTCTACCTGTCTCTCTACCTGTTTCTCTACCTGTCTGTCTACCTGTTTCTCTGCCTGTCTGTCTACCTGTTTCTCTACCTGTCTCTCTACCTGTCTGTCTACTCGTCTCTCTACTTGTTTCTCTACCTGTCTGTCTACCTGTTTCTCTACCTGTCTCTCTACCTGTTTCTCTGCCTGTCTATCTACCTGTCTCTCTGCCTGTCTGTTTACCTGTCTGTCTACCTGTTTCTCTACCTGTCTGTCTCCCTGTTTCTCTACCTGTCCTCTACTTGTTTCTCTCCCTGTCTGTCTCCCTGTTTCTCTCCCTGTCTCTCTACCTGTCTGTCTACCCGTCTCTCTACCTGTCTACCCGTTTCTCTACCTGTCTGTCTACCTGTTTTTCTGCCTGTTTCTCTGCCTGTCTGTTTATCTGTCTGTCTACCTGTTTCTCTGCCTGTCTGTCTACCTGTCTCTCTACCTGTCTGTCTAACTGTCTCTCTACCTGTTTTTCTGCCTGTCTCTCTGCCTGTCTGTCTACCTGTCTGTCTACCCGTTTCTCTACCTGTCTCTCTACCTGTTTCTCTGCCTGTCTGTCTACCTGTCTGTCTACCTGTCTCTCTACCTGTCTGTCTCTCCAGAACTTCAGCGTTGTTGAGCAGGAGAAGATAGACAAGTTCATGCTGGAGTTGGACGGCACTGAGAACAAATGTAAGAAACTGTCTCTCTCTCTCTCTGACCTGGTCTGTCTCTCTCCCTCTGACCTGTCTCTCTCTGTCTAACCTGTTTCTCTCCGTCTATTCAGCGTTGTTGAGCAGGAGAAGATAGACAAGTTCATGCTGGAGTTGGACGGCACTGAGAACAAATGTAAGAAACTGTCTCTCTCTCTCTCTCTCTCTGACCTGACCTGTCTCTCTCTATCTGACCTATCTGTCTCTGTCTGACCTGTCTGTCTCTGTTTGACCTGTCTCTCTCTGTCTGACCTACCTGTCTGTCTCTCTCCCTCTGACCTGTCTCTCTCTATCTGACCTGTCTGTCTCTCTCCGTTTGCCCTGTCTCTCTCCCTCTGACCTGTTTCTCTCCGTCTGCCCCGTCTCTCTCCCTCTGACCTGTCTCTCTCCGTCTGCCCTGTCTCTCTCCCTCTGGCCTGTCTCTCTCTATCTGACCTGTCTGTCTCTCTGCAGCTAAGTTTGGTGCCAACGCCATCCTGGGCGTGTCGCTGGCCGTCTGTAAGGCTGGAGCAGCAGAGAAGGGAGTTCCTCTCTATCGCCACATCGCTGACCTCGCCGGACACAAGGATGTCATACTTCCTGTCCCTGTGAGTTGGAGGCGTTTTGGCTCAAGCTTTAAGCAAACGGAAATTGAGCAGCTCCCAGTTAAACTCAGGTTATTAACAAGTTAATACAGACAGGAATTGGCTACTCAGTATGGCTGTCAACACGAGGTAAAATCTTCTTCCAGGTGTTTCCAGGTCACTGCTACAGTGAGTAACTGTCGTCTGAAGTTGTCTACAGTAAAAAGCGAAGTCATTAGTTAACTGTTTTTCCACTCGGCTAACGTTGTCTACATGGCAGCTCAAGGCAGTAACTGTCCATGACTTTTGTCTTGCTGACTACTACAAAGTGTCCCCAGAAGTTTTTGTAGCTGCTGCTAGAAAGTGAAGTTTCCAGGTAAAGCGTCAGACAACGCTGGCAGTAAAAACAGGTGTTCATCACGGCACCGTGTGCACTGTGCCGTTAGGCTGTGGCTAGCTAAACGGTGACAGGGACCTTTACTTTAGTGAGGCGGGCTAGTTAAACTATTGTTTCCTCTGCTCTCAGGCCTTTAACGTGATTAACGGAGGAAGCCACGCTGGAAACAAACTGGCCATGCAGGAGTTCATGATTCTTCCAGTTGGAGCCGCCAACTTCCACGAGGCCATGAGGATCGGAGCTGAGGTGCAACACAATTAGTAAAGTAGTTATACTGTTAGTCTTAGATTGGTTGTATTTTTCTACCACTTGAGGTACTGCTGCATCATCCAGCTTCAGGTGATGGCAGTATTGCTGTTTGTGCATGCGCAGGTCTACCACAACCTGAAGAACGTGATCAAGGCGAAGTATGGCAAGGACGCCACCAACGTGGGAGACGAGGGAGGCTTTGCCCCCAACATCCTGGAGAACAACGAGGGTGAGACAGCCACATGTCTGTCTGATTTCCTTCCCTGTAGCGTGAGAATTAGACTACATGGGGTTAGGGGTTAACCCTAAACTACATGAGTGGCATGTTGTGTCACTGCCACTTCCTGATTGGTCCCTGTCCCTGCAGCTCTGGAGCTGCTGAAGACGGCCATAGAGAAGGCCGGTTACCCCGACAAGATCATCATTGGCATGGACGTAGCAGCCTCCGAGTTCTTCCGCAATGGGAAGTACGACCTGGACTTCAAGTCCCCTGACGACCCGTCCAGACACATCACGGGAGAGAAGCTGGGAGACCTGTACCGCAGCTTCATTAAGGGCTACCCTGGTACGAACACGCGCAGAGCACCGCAAGGCTGTTCGAGTCAAATGTTTTATAGGAAAAATGTTAATAGAACATTTAATAGGCAATTTAAAGACATTTCAGGATAAAATAACACGTTTTGGAGAATCCCAGATACATGAAACACGTCAGATTTCCAGTGGAAGTTCTGCACTGGATTTTCCTACTTACACATATGTCAACCTGTAGAGGTCAGTACAGGACTGTGCACTAACATGTCCACCTCTCTCTCTCTCTTTCTGTAGTCCAGTCCATTGAGGATCCATTTGACCAGGATGACTGGGATCACTGGGCTAAGTTCACTGCCTCTGTAGACATCCAGGTGAGTCAGACAGGTGTGCAGAGGCAGATGCTCTCTGTAAGGACGTATTTCTACATGTAACTGCCAGGTAGGATAGCTTCCTGTTAGTCAGCTCTGTGGAATCAGGAGCCAAAACTGAACCAGGTTCTTCCAGACCAAACTACAGAAAACTTACCTAAAATTAAAGTGGCTCATCTGTGTGTGTGCTTTTTAACCAATCAGATTGTGGGAGACGACCTGACGGTGACCAATCCCAAGAGGATCCAGCAGGCTGTGGACAAGAAGGCCTGCAACTGTCTGCTACTCAAAGTGAACCAGATCGGCTCCGTGACCGAGTCCATCCAGGCGTAAGGCACCTGTCTTTCAGTCTGTCTGCATGACCGACTGTTTAAAATTCAAGCTATTCAACTATCCCCCCTCCCTCAGGTGTAAGCTGGCTCAGAGCAGCGGTTGGGGTGTGATGGTCAGCCATCGCTCTGGAGAGACAGAGGACACCTTCATTTCTGACCTGGTGGTCGGACTCTGCACCGGACAGGTACGCAGACAGACAAACAGGTAGACAGAAAGACAGACAGGTCCATAAATACATGGATGAAAACAATAACATAACACACTCTTCATGTCTGAGTCACTTAATGATCCCAGGCTGTCTCACTCTCTACATGTCTTTCTGTCTCTCTCAGATTAAGACTGGTGCCCCCTGCAGGTCGGAGCGCCTGGCCAAATACAACCAGCTGATGAGGTGAGAACTTCCTGTCATTTACAAAATAAGAGCACCTTACTATAAGTAAACGCTGCATTTCTGAGAGTTGACAGAGGAACGACAGCAAACTGACAGCTGTCCTGACCTCTGACCTCTGCCCTGCAGGATCGAGGAGGAGCTCGGAGACAAGGCCAAGTTTGCCGGCAGAGACTTCCGCCACCCCAAGATCCACTAAAGCCCTGTCCTGCCTTCTCTGTCATCGTGACAACTGACTGACACCTAGTGGCCCCTGAAGCCCCTCCCTCCTACAGCTGGGGGCGAGAGGTCGGAGGTCGCAGCGGGTTAGACCCTGCCTTCCTAGCCATAATTCCATTAATGATGTTTTCTATATAAAACATAAAGATTCAATAAAGTCTAATGACTAAAACAGATGTTAATAAGTTGTTACTGAATTTTCACATTTACACTTTATGTGACTTTGTGCTTTGCACAGGTCGACACTAAACACAACATGGGGCAAAAGAAAAGGGGACACGAGTGTGATTTTATCCCATTTGATAATGAAAACATGCAGATTTGTCCCAGTAGACTGGGCTCCATTATTCCCGTCCACACTGCTGTGACGTCAGAGCTGCTGGGTGAGGAGTTTGGGCTGAGGGCAGCCTGTTGCCTGGCGAGGAGCAGCCGCCGTGTCGACTTTGACTGAAGCAACGAGTGAAAACCACCAGGAACACTATAGTGACGAGCTTCACATCACTGGCTGTGAATGTTGCCCTGAACGTGTGTGATGTGCTCATTGTTATGGAAAACTGATTTTAAAACATTTACACAAACACCCCCAATCAGAAATGATGCCACAGCCCCCACTTCACCCCTCATGACCCGAGGGCAGCGTTACTGTTTGCATCAGTCTGTCATACAACACCAGTGCACAACCTGACAAAGCTTGGTGCAACAGGACAGGGTTACACAAGGCTAAGTAGGAAACACACAACAGTACACAAAACAACAACAACAAAACGAGGCTCTTCAGCCAGAGTCACTGCTTCTGAAGAGATAAACAACTAAAATAAGAAAGAGTGGCTACTGGCTGCTGGTTGTTTGTTGTAAATTGTGGTGCCTGCAGGGTGCACGACTGGAAACACAGCAACCTTTTCCTATTGTGTAATTAACAAGTAGAAAGTGGGAGAACAGCCACATGTTGCACAACAGTCCTCAAACCTTATTTACACCTAAAGTTACAATAATAACCACATGGCTTTCTCGTTCAATATGAAAGATTCCTGGAGACGAGCCAAGGTTCATTCACTTACGTCTAAACTTTTGTCTCATTTTAATCTCAGTGAGGTTTTCCTGGTTAATTAAAGGTTAACAAAGTTCATGCTGTTCTTTCCAAACCAAACAGTGAAGTGTAATATGTGTTAACGTGAGACAACACAGTGAGAATTAGTTCATATCACGTGCAAATGTAACACTGGGTTCTGGTTCAAAAACAGTTTGATGTCTTCTGGTTTACTTTTAATACCGTCTCCTGTCCCACAATGCACTGAGGCACAGTTGCCAACATCATAACAAAAACCTCAGCCCAGCTTCTGTGTCAACAGCTCAGCTTCACTGGCAATGAAACAAGGCACACGAGCTCAAACCATCAGAAATAAGATAGTGTACCCATGTACCTACAGTACCCATGAGCCTCAGCAGCTGTTTCCACGGAGACAATACATCCAGACCAGAGCTGTGACATTAAGGATGTGTCATATTCAGAACAAAGATTTAAAAACAACCCATGGAACAGCTCCAAACATCTTTATAGTTGCTCAAGGTGAATTTGAACTTTATCAGCAAACCCTGGAACCTCCTGAGTGACTCAATAAACCTCTTCAAGGCTCCATGGAACTTCAGGTGCCATTCGGAGTTCCTCATGGACCTCAGAACCCCTCAAGGACTAAATAGAACCTCCTCAGGGATCTGGAGAACCACTACATTCACTGTAGTGTCCTTGAGGGGTTCTAAGGTCCTAGAAGAGTCTAAAATTGTCATGAAGGGGTTTCCAGGGGTCCATGCAGAGCTACCAGTAAAGACAGTGCTCAGATGGTTGTTAAAGAGGCTGCAGCAATCCTTGAACAGGATTTTTTAGTTCTTAGCAGCTGCCAAGTAGTCCTTGAAGAGATTCCTGTAGTCCATGAAGGGACTCTACTGGGGCTGTTTTCCATATGGAACTTGTGGTTTTCTGGTTTCACCTGGTTTGTGAGCCACTGGTCCATCTTAAAGGGCCTTTCAAATCTCTTCAAGGACCTTGGAAGATTCTTATAAACCCCTAGAACACATTCAAGAATCACTGGCACCTTCTCAAGGAAACCTGGAACCAGTTTGTGTGGCTGCGGTGTGAGTTGTTGGTGAGTGTGTGTCTCTGTTTGGGGGAGGGGGTCTGGAAGAGGAGGAATGTGGTGTGCGTCACCACACACAGACACACAAACTGGATAATATCTTGTGATCCCCCTAACGATGTGATTGATGAGCTGCTTAATGACCCCCCTTGTCTGTGTCCCGGTCAGACAAAGCTCCGCCCCCCCCCTTCAGCCTCTGACGTCATCGACCATACATAAAACACACACCTTTCCTTCAAACCATGTGAACCCTTGTAGACCCGCCCCCTCCCACAGGAAATAGTTGCCAGCAACAACCCGGTTGCCACGGTGACAGTTTATGAGGAGATGGGACGACCGAGGTCAGAGGTCACAGGGGTCTGACAGAGTTTTCACTGCAGGCAGAATACTGGGCTCTGATTGGCCAGCATATGAAGAAGAGGAAGATGGTGGTTTTAAGTCACAGCTACAGGTGTGCTAACCTGCCAGTAACCGTGGTAACAGGACTGACGCAGCAATCGACTAACTCTCCAGGATCCCCTTCAAGGATTGCAGCCTCCTGAACCATCATGTGAGTGCAGAGGCCCCTCAAGGCCACCTGGAAACTCCTCAAGGAGCATTTCAGCCTCCTCACAGAACGATAACACCCATCAAGGACACCTGGAACTCTGAAACCTCTTTTAGACCAAGAATCATTTTCTGATACCTTCCCAAGAATCTGTGGAACATCAGTAACGCCCTCAGGTAAGGACCCTGGAGCTTTCTCAAGGATCATGTGAGTCTCATCTCGGATCTTTTGGACTTTTTCAGGGTCTTTAAAACCCCTCAATGACCCAAGTAACTTCATGAATCCCTGAAACCATGCCACTGGCTCCTGGGACGTCTTCCATGCTTATTTGAGCCTTGGAGTTTTGTTGCCTTGTCAAGGACCCTGGAGCATCCACAAGGACTCCGGGTCTGGATAATTAAAGTGATTTGTGAATGAATTCTTTCTCAGGTGTGTTCTCATGAATCGATGCATGGCGGATGCTTTGGTCCCCAGGTTTCAGTGTCTTCACACCTTACACACTCACACACCCCTGTAACTGTGCAGACATGCGTGTGAGCGTGAGACGGTCGTTGGGGTAACCGCTGTGAGAATGTGTGACATCACAGGGCTCAGCAGTATATAAGCGTGGGTGTGCAGGTCGAGCACAGACCCGTCCTCACACAGCACACACACCATAGTCCATTCAAAAAAACATCAAAACTTCTCAGTCCTGCACGACCAATAATCAATCACTTTTAATAACTTAGAGGGAAAACGTTTGTGCAGGTCACATGACGGACTGACGACCAGCAGGACCCTGTGGAGTTTGTTGGGACTTCTGCTTTTAAATTTGGATTTTGTTGGAACATTTCTCTTCAGTAAGTTCTGCTGTTTTATTGTCCTGTTAAAGACTATGTCTCTATTTTACACATGGTAACATTTAAGTGTTAGTGCTGCTCCACCTGCTGCTGGAACGACCTCATAGAGATCAATAAACTCCAACTGATCTATTTTTAACTGATAAAATGTCATTTTATAATATAGATTAGGACATGAACTGATTAAACTGATCTGATGTCAACAATGAAATCTAATCTAATATTAAAACCATTTAAATCTAATGTGATCTAACATAAAACATCTTATCTAGTTTATACAAATCTAATTAATTTAATTTAAATAATTTTAGAATTTGATATAATTTTTTAATTTTGTCTAATCTGAATATAACAAACCCAATTTTTATTCATCTAATATAATTTAATGGAAGAAAATATCAGTGTATGTTTTAAAAAATCTAATCTACTTTTCTTTTTTTTATTTGTTACACAAATCTAAATTTAATTTCTAAATTTAAACCAATTTTTAAAATCTAATTTAAATGATTTAATAATTGATTTTATCATGTTGTCCCCTGATAAAGAAAATATATAAAAATACATAAAAACAAATTTTTAAAATCCCCTCAAAGCTTAAAGAAACATCAAAAACAACAGTGTCTGGAAACTAAAGGAAAAGTTCAACATTTTGGGAACTACAGTGATTGGCCTCCTGGGAATGCCAGGTAGCTTAGCTTAGCATAATGACAGGAAGCAGGGAAACAGCTAGCCTAGCTCATAATCATATGACATGGTCTTCCTCAGCAGATGGAGCTGGCCTACCTGTCATTATGTCCAACAAGGTCCTCATCATCTGATGATGATAAAGCTCACACGTTATGACTGAAAGCTCCACAACAGCTACTGAGTGGACCACAGGAAATGAATGAACCGGCCAATCAGGACGCAGGACAGTCTGATGCCATGGCGTTATTTGATTAATCTTTTTTGTCTGTCTTCCCTTTTTTGTTGCTCCAAATAAAGATGGCTTCATCTTCTTCCTCCTCCTACTCTTTTATTCTCCTTCTCCTCCTCTTCCTCGCCGTCGCTGTGGAGTTAAGGCCTTCACCTCAACGAGATGACAAACAGGTCTGTGGAGACCATCGTCTTCATCTTCATTGATTTCATCTTCACGTCTTTCTCTGTGTTTTCTTTCTTCATCTTCTTTGACCTTTCCTCCTCGTCTTCATGATCCTTATCTGCCCCATCATCATCCACCATCATGTCCATCTTCATTTCAGTAAGCACTATAGACTTCAACTCATTGTCATCCTTTTTTCTTCTTCATCATCTGTTTCATCATCTTCCTCTTTAGCTCCATTGCAGCATTACTCTTCATCATCCTCATGTTTTTTTAAAATTCAAACATAAATCAGAAAGTAGAGGACCAGTGATGGAGCCCTGTGGAGCTCCGTGACCTGTATGGGCTCATCTCACAGTTCACTGACCCTCCTTAGGACCGGTTACCAATAGCATCATATCTGTCATGTGATTGACTCTGGGCCCTCAAGCAACATCAGAGTTTCTTCATGTAAAAAGACATTTTTTATTTTCACCCTTCATGTTACAGCTGCACAGTGACATTTCCTTCAGGTCAGTACAGCTGTTTGACAATTAGAACAGCTCTGCTTTAGGGAAAAGGAGGTGACATTTAATCTTCTGTGCTCTAGTGTTTAGTAAAGTTTGTGTGCAGAAGGGAGTCAGTGGATCTGCTGTGGCAGTCAGACAGCACCTCCTCATCTGCAGGGCAAAGAAAGAAATATTAAACAGTGAAGTCAGCTGCAGCTTTTACATGAGCAGAACCTGAAACTTCTACTTCATCTGAAGAAGACACTGAGAGACACAAAACAACCACAAGCAAACACAAAGACACAGAATGTGACCACAAACAAACACAAAACAACCACAAAGTCACAAAAACACGACCACAGAGAGACACTTTCAGTGCTGGTGTCTTGCTCTTATACAGGAGCAGTTGTCACATGAATACGAGCTGTTGTGTTTACAAATAAGGTTCACGATACTTTCGTCTTTCTCTCCTTAGGTGTTACACTCTCTGTTTGGCTCCCATCTCTCTTCGCTGATCTTGGCCCCACCCACCTCAGATGACATCACAGAGGGCTCAGCTGGACGCCCTACCCCCTCCTCGTTGTCTCCCTCTGGAGGACTGGCTGTGAGTCACAGCACTGCGAGGGGATTGGCTGGCAGACAGGAGGAGGTCCCTCGGTTCTTCCTCGACTTCCTACAACAACAGGCCAAGATGAGGAGGTGGAGCCGGAAGTCGATGTTTGGAGGAAGAGGATGCTTTGGGATGAAGATGGACCGCATTGGCTCCATCAGTGGACTGGGCTGTTAGACACAGAGCGTGTGTTCGTGTTGCTATGGTGACTGCCTCCCTGGACGTTCACATGGTAACGCCCAGCTGTGGGATGCTTCAGGAGGTCACCACAGTAACCACCAACAACCCATGACCCTGAGAAAACCTGACACCACCTCATGTTGCATCGGCTATTTTTACCTGCATGATGTCATTTGAGGTGACCTCAAGCTGACCTTGCATGACCTCTGACCTCCAGGACCACCTGGTGCATCACTCAGAGACTTCATGTTGGAAACTTTACTAATGAAGGACTAAATGTAAGGAAAACAGGGCCCATACTGGTCAAACTGGTGAGAATGGCACTGCCAAGGAAAACAGCTGTTAACTTATTGCTCTGCAAGAAGTCACAGTCTAACTGTACAAGACGGACAGACGACGTGCTCATGCTGAGGGTTAGGGCTAGGGTTAACCCTCAGCCTGATGCATGACAAAGTGGCACAACAGCCAATCAGATGCTCAGATGAAAATAATCAACTAAAACTACTCTGTTCTTAATTATTGAGCTTCAGCTAATTTCATTATCACTATTATTATTATCACGAGACAGAAAATGTGATGTGCTACGCTCTCTTTCTGTCCTTTGGTCATAGAGGATCTGAACCATAGACTCTGCAGCTCTTTAACATTTAACAGAGTTAATGTCAAAACTACTTTGATAAATAGTTTTTTTATTCTCAAGCTTGTGAGTAAAGGTGAAAGGTTTTCACTTTTCTCTTCCACTAAGGTCAAGACTATATTAAATACATAAATATGGGCCCTGGTGTAGTGAGGTAGATGCCATAGATGCAGGTCATCCTGATGACCTCTGACCCCTGACCCCTGGCTACAGCCAGAAGCAAACAGTGTGTGTGACATGACCATGTATTAAACATGCAGATGTTTGTGTACCTGAGTGTGTTTGTGGACCACTGCAGTCTGACTGCAATAAATAAAACAATAAATAAAAACTTGGCTCATGTCGCTTCATTTTAGTCATGTTCATGCTGGATCGTGTCTGGTTCATAGTGGTGAACTGTCACCAAATGTTTAAAGAATATTAAAATGATTATATAATCCCTCTGATAGCTTCCAGCGTTCTATGAAAATAATATTTTCCCGTCACTAGGGGGCAGCAGGAAGGCGTTTTAATCGGTCTAACGGCCCCCTGTCACGTGACGAGGTCAGCGGCTACAGGGTTAGCTCATTCACCAAGCTAATAGTTAGCATTAGGTCTGACGCTACTTATCCAACAACACGGAAATTCAGACTCTCCTCCAGCGGGACAGCTTCACTGTCATCGGCTTGGTCTACACCTCTTTCTCCCGGGTTTTCCTGGCTCTCCGTCCTCGTGGTCCGGACCGGTCCTTAAAACCGAAACATGTCGGCGGTACAGCGAATGAAAGTGGCGAACGAGCGGCACAGCAAAACCATCACACAGCGCGGACACGTCCAGAAGACATCGGTACTGACAGCCAGGCTCACAGTGACCTGCTGTTTCTGGCGTTGTCGTGCAGCCATAGCCCGGTGCCGTGTGGTTTCTGTGTGTTGTTAAAAATGCATAGCGGTCATTCAGTAATTTAGGTTGGTAGGCAAAACGCAAGCATGTCCAGGAAGCAGCTAGCTTTAGCCTTAGCTTCGACAGGAACTCTAGTGGTCTCCGTCAGCTCTGCATAATCGCACACAATAAAGCTTTTGCAGTTAGATGCATTTAATGTTATATATCGTGTTGACTATATATACGCAGAAGTAGTGTAGTTCTGGCCAGTGTCATCCGGGGACCGGATAACATGCGTGTAAAGACGAAAAGAACCGAACCCCTTTCAGAAATCTGTGACAGTAATGTGATTTGTACATGTGCATACAGCTACAAACTATAAAAAGCTTAAGTAAGACTACTTTCGGAAGGCCTTACAGATGATCTTATGTTCGGCAGACATATTATGCACAGATCGTAACTTGACTGATAAGATGTTTAAGTTTTTGATAGCCAGAGCCGCTTATGTCCGTGGGAAACACCGCAGTGGGCGGAGGCGAAGTGCACGACGCTACTGAACGCACAACAGATGGGTTTATTTTAAATAAGTCGTGAGTTATACTCAGGACGAATTGAAGAAGGGCTTCACCCAGCCGGAAGTACTGTCAGTTTCCCCCAAACACTGCAGCACCAAGCTGTACTTGAACTTTCACAGCCTCTGGATACAGGTCCAGTGAACGTCAGTGATGTTATTCTGTACTGAGCCTTAACCTGAGAAAGCAAACTATATGTAAATGGTTGAATGTGGACGCACAATGATTGGCTCTGCTGTTGTCGGTTTGTGGTCAGTTTGTGATCTGCTGCCCATAGACACCTCTGTCGACTGTTAACACGGTCACTACTGTAATGTGTGATGCAGTGAGACCGTCAAGTTTGTCCAAAATGAACAATTTTTGTTCCACTGTGAAGGTCTTGGTGCTGCAGATGAATCTTCTTTATAAATAGAAAACAGTTCTGATGTCATCAGATGCCTTGTTTTGTCTGACAAATAGTCCAGAATCCACAAATGCTGAGCGAGTTGCAATGTAAAACCAAGATAAAGAGCAAATTCTCACTTCTGAAAACTTATGGCCGTTTTGCACACAAACGTGACTGAAATCATCGATCAGTTATCAGAATATTTGCAGACACGTTGTCTGTCACTGATTCTCGTGGACCTGTGACTGTGTTTTTCAGAGGCCGGTAAATGATGAGAAGTCTCCGGTGGGTCCGTGGCTGCTGGCGCTGTTTGTCTTTGTGGTTTGTGGATCAGGTGAGTTGCTGCGCGCTCTTTCCTGTACAGCTGATCTGCTCTCCTCTCAGCGGTTTCTGAAGCTCAGCTCTGTGTCACCAGTCCTTGAAAAGGTCCTGGAGTAGTCTTGAATCAGTTTTCCCAGATATCAGCTGTGAAAAGTTTGTTTTTGGTTTGAATTCAGACCCAGCAGCTGAGTTAGTTTGAAAGAAGTCATGATGCTGTCAGATAAATGCCACACTGTATATTTCAGTGTGTAATTTGCAGTGGTGCCTTTTGATGTGACGAAGAAAAAAGTCAACACCATTTGATGTTTTCCTTCATTTTCCAGCAACACAGAAACAAAGCGTCCTGTGTCGTCAGAGTTGTGGGCTCAGGTCTTAAAACCACGTTGGGCATCTTGGTGTTAACTCCAGTGTCTCACTCTCAGTAACAGTGTGACCGTGACGTAGTGTCTCACTCTCAGTAACAGTGTGACTGTAGCGTCACGTGACGAGATCCAGGTGAAGGCTTGGCCACACAGAAGACAAGGTTTCACTGTGGACCCTAACTCAGTGTTAGAAAACCAGTAGAACCAGCTGAGTCATGGTGCGAGCTGGTGTAAGTTAGAGGAAGCTGAGGCTGCCGGTCACCATGTGTCGTCGTGGGCCGTGTCAGCCAGTTACAGTCCGACTTCTTCACACTTCCCCAGGAAGATCGGTGCCATGAGATCACTTCCTTTCTTAGGGTGACATCATCATAGCTCGTGTTACTGACCTCCCCTCTGTGGTGAAGCTTGTCTCTGTTCAAACGTATTCTTCATATTTGACCTGCTATGAAACGCTGACAGAGGAGATGATGGATGTCAGCGTAGGAACGTGTGTTTCACTTTGGCTTTCGTCCTGTTACAGCAGTAGAAGTGTGTGTGTACAGGTGTTTGGCTGCAGAGGGTCCACTGATGTTCAAGGAACATCTCACTCTTTATGAAATGACACCAACCCTCTGGGTTCTGGTTCTAGGTTCTGCTAGGTTCCTCAAACCACAACAGTTGGATATTTGTCGTGTCCTCATCTGTATTTTGTAGCCGTGGAGCTACCTGAGAGATTCTTTCGTGTGTGTGATGACTTGTACTGCAGGAGCCTCAGACTGACCACAGCTCAGGAGTCGGGTTCTCAGCGGCTTTGAGTTCTGATACCTTCTACAGTAAACATTCAGTCTTATGTACCACCACAGTCGTATACTTAAGAATTGCTGTTATATTCAGCTGTTGAGTCCTGTCAAACGCGACCATGTAGATGCTGCATTTCATCAGCGATTGTTGACCTGACTGGTTTCTCTTTTGCAGCCATCTTCCAGATCATCCAGAGCATCAGACAGGGCATGTGATGACCTTTGACCCTGGAGCTGAGCCTGTCACATGGAGGAGAGAGGGGCCATGTCGCCATCGTGACCCCGGCTACCACATACACACACATTTGTTCCTGTGGAGTTTTTTCCTCTCACTGTAACTTCTCTCTTTCTCTTTGCTGTAAACATTTTGTTTTTACTTTCCTCACTGTCGATGAAGCTGATCAGATATTGGTTATTGATTTGTGCCGGTGGTTGTTGTCACATGAAGTCTTAAACCTTGCTCTCAGTCTGATGCTGTCGTCCAGCTGAGTCTGGTTTCTGGGCGACAGGACCACACCGCTGGTTTTTAAATCTCATTAACTACAAATCCTGTAAAGCCTCCTCATGGTTTGTCAGGGTTCAGGTGGGTTTCCTTGTCAAGCCCTGGACCCTGTTTGTGCTTGTTTGGCTCAGTTTGTGGAGGACTGAGCTCTGCTGTAAAGTCTGCTGTTCCGATGGTGGCCGAGTGTCCGAGAAACGAGACCAAGTACAGTGCTGGTAAAAACATGGAGGGCTTAAAGTCCCCACAGAAACTCTGATCAGGAACAGAAACCATGTGAGATACAAAGTAAAGCTGCGACAGATTCATAATTCAGATGTTAGTCCAGCTTTCTGACACGAGTGGTTTTAGCAGGACGAGTTGAGCTTTCTTCCTCAGGTACGATCAGATTGAGCTGCTGTTGTATTTGACTGATCAGGAACAGAAACCATGTGAGATGCAAAGTAAAGCTGCGACAGATTCATAAATCAGATGTTAGTCCAGCTTTCTGACACAAGTGGTTTTAGCAGTACGAGTTGAGCTTTCTTCCTCAGATACGATCAGATTGAGCTGCTGTTGTATTTGATCAGTGAAACAGGATGTCAGGTCAGATTTTAGCAAGAGGAAAAAGCAGAATCCAGTGCGTCAGTGCGCTCTTACCAGCCGAGTGCTGCGTGTGGTTCCTACAGACTTTCACCTAGTACCATATACAGGTCAGATTTTAGCAAGAGGAAAAAGCTGAATCCAGTGCGTCAGTGAGCTCTTACCAGCTGAGTGCTGCGTGTGGTTCCTGCAGACTTTCACCTAGTACCATATAAAGTATGTGCTAAAGAAGGTATCTGAAACTTTTGCACCAGGAAATACTCTACACCTTCTGTAAATATTTCACATTAAAAGCTTAATTATTCATGTGAACAACACTGAATGTGTGAAAACGTCAGAGCTTCTCTCCACATTTGAACCACACGGCGTCTCTGTGACAGCCCGCATCACATCCATTACAAACACATTTCACTTCAGACGTGCTCGGACCTTTCTAAGTCACATTTGGTTCAGTAACGGGGCTGAAGAGCAGTGTGGAGAAAGCTCCATCAGCTTCCAGAGCCATGCATTTGTGTGTGCAAGTCTGCAGCAGAGAAACAACATGTGTGCAGATACAGACTAACACATGACAAAGCTGCACAGTTGGATGAATTAAGGGACAATAACCCTGAAGATGAGCTGTGGCACCCTGTCAGAAAGGTCTTGACCTTGTTATTTCTATAAACGCTCAGTGCAAACATTACATTCAACTAAATGTTTTTATTATTTTAAGCTTTTAAAGTCATGAACTGTTGATTTCGGGGCTTAATGGAGTCGCCCTTTATATCGAGCTGCTGGACAGATGAAGTGATGGTCATATTGTAGACTGTGCTGAACCTGAGATGTGACTTTGTTCCCCCTTAAAAAACCTTAATGAAACAATAGACAGTGGGGAGCCTTGGTCAACGTTCACCATAAACAGCAACCCCTACAGAAAAAGAAATTATATTATGTGAAATAAATGCTTTTATGCAGGTTTCTGTTTGATTTTCATTTTGGTGCTGGACAATTAACTGTCTGCAGTGACTAAAGGGCCAGAAAGGCAGACGTCCTCAGCAACAAAACCGCCCTTAAACATGCTTTGGGAAGTAAAGGGGAAATGAAATTGGCCCCAAATGTTCTTTCCTTCTCACACTTTTTTCTTTTTTGTTGTTTTGACAGCTTGTGCAGCAGCGATGTAAAATACAGGATTTGTATGTAATGATCTGAATCAGCAGTTTGGTCCTTTTTGTCATAACATCCCAAAAAACAGAGGTCGCATCCAGACTGTCTGAATTAGTTTACAGTTCTTGTTTTGATGTGAACAGTTCAGTCTGAGGAGCCTCCATCACTAAAACCTTCAGTCTGACTGCAGCTCGCCAGCTTTCAGCCGACAAAGCATCATGTGGTTTAGTTTGGAAAGGTGAAGCTGGACGACATGCTCCGCTTTTATACAAAATAAACCACAGATATTTTTCTCTAAACACCTTTGGTCTCTGTCCTTCTAAGATTAGGAAAGTGGATGTTCCAGAAAGTACTGAAACCTGCTGGTGAAATTATGATGACGCCTCCTGCTGGACTGAAGCAGAACTGAAGCCACATTTATTCAAAGGTTGAGCAGAAACATGTCAAAGTTCACAGTGAAGTAAAGAGAGCAAACATCAGAATGAGGACGAGTTGTGTGGTGCTGCTGCTCATGGCAATAAACTGCACCCAAACACACCAGGCCTCCATCACTGACTAATGCAGCCAAGTTTAAATACAGGTACATGCACTTCTCACACCAGGCTCCAATCCACAGGGACAGCAACCCACAACGGAGCATCTGGGGAAACGGTGACATCACCATTAAAAAATAAAACAACACAAGATCTGGAAGAGAGTTTTACACAGCAGTAAGGATTTAACCTTTTAACTACAGTAAGTGGGTAAAAAGGAGGAGCAGGAGCCAAAGCTGCCTGCTCCACCTGTGTCCTCCGGGTGCTCTCCTCTCCATTTTAACGCCTTCTGGAGTATATTTCTTCTAATAATATGAGAAGAAAGTTGCACACTGACCACTGAAACCGTAACTGAATCAAAAACTAAGTTCAGTGTTGTGTTAGTCTGCAATGTTTGCATTTTCACAGTCCAGGCTCCTGTAGCTGTTGCAGTGGTGATCAGTGTGATTCACCCCGTTGGCCCTGTAGCACAGCATAAACAATACATAAATAAATAGTAATAATGATTAGCTCCGTGGCCGCCACCTCTCCCGTTACTACGCAGTGACGTCATAGCAAGAGAAGATGGCGGCTGTGCAGAAGGCGGAAGGTAAAGGGGCTATAACAGATTGTTTTATCCCAAAACACATCTTTATGGCCCCTGTCTGCTGTTATTTAAACGGTGTATATCAAGTGCTACACTCAGAGATCAGGAGCCGCTGACTGGCCGGGGTTAGCACGTCCTAACTCTTAAAAGAGACCCGTGTACCGGCTGTTAGCC